TGGGGAACTTCATTAGGAGATACTTATGCTTGAGTGCTAATAAAGATTAAGTGAGCCAGTTTTGTCTTCCGAGCTGTGCTTTGCCCTTCGTTTTGCAAGCTAGTGTTGAGGCTTGACGCTCGTCTTATGGGGAGAGATTTGGGGTGAGCAGGCAGAGCTGAGGTGGGGATAACACCGTTGCGCTATTGATCCCAGATGGGGCTGGCTCCTCCAGCAGCCCCTGAAGCAGTCAGCCCAGTGCTGTTGTCCCCATTCAGGTGGATGCCGTCTGTCCCCAGACGAGCTGAAGAACTGAGTGAGGATTTTGCGCTCCGAGTTCAGGAGGTAGGAGGATGATGTGGGAAAGGGATCTGTAGGACTGCTGCAATTTGGGATGGTCACAGAGGAGAGTGGGGTGCAAGCAGAGTTGCAAAGGGCGTTTCTGGATGGGTGTATCTGTATGATGGGAATTCTGGCCTGTACTTATTGCCCCTTACAATTATTCCATTTTTCCATGGCCTATTTGTTACCCTCCATTTATCCTTTCTGCCAGTTATCAAGGCTTTCCCCTTCTAGTTCAGACCTTTCACTCCCTTTTCATAATACCACAAATCAAATAAAGCAATTGTTTCTCCACCTTTCCCTTATGTGCTGGGTACTTCATAGCTCCTGTACCAAAGATCTTGTACCTCCCCGTCAGCCTGTTCTGGCAGGATGATATTGCCTACTCCTGGTCCTTCATGTGCTCCATGCAACACTGAAATGCATCACTGAGGCCCTGGAGAAATCAGTTCCCAGTCCTCTTCCCCTCGCCGTGGCTCTACGCAGGCCTGTACATCTGATACACTCCCCTGCAAGCTGGGAATGCCTGGGTCATGCGTGTTGTGTATTGTATACATGTGACTCTTTATATTTCTGCAGCTCTTGGCCATGGAGCTGGGTGTGGTATCCACACGGCTCACTGCAGCAGATAAAACTGAACACATGAAGAGGCTGAGACACACATCACTTCTTCCGTTTGCCCCAGGTGGGTGTCCTGATTATGGAACTGCCACTTAGGCTTTGCCTTTGGGGCGGCCTCAGTCTACTCTTGGTTGCTCCTGCGTGGAGGGAGAGAAGGCGTGTTTGACACCCTCCTGGGGAGCAGGGGCTGCCTGTGTGCTTTAGGCTGAGGGCTGTAGCTAGCTGGCAGGGAGGGGACCGTTGCTCCTGACCACAGACATGATGGTCGTGTGCGGGAAGTCTGACTTTCCTAACACAACAGTTCATACTGGAGAAAGTGGAGCTGTTGCAACTTGAAGGCCATGCACCTTCTGGCAACCCCCTTGTGCCCGCTGTTCTTTCTCTTGCAGCCTCAAGCCAGGCCCTGGCAGCCAGGCCCAGGATGCCTTCTAACCTGACTGGTGTTGCTCCTGAGGATGTGCAGATCACCGCAATGTCTCAGCGGGTCAAGGAGGTGCTGCCTCATGTGCCTCTGGAGGTCATCAGGATAGACTTGGGTAAGCAATGCCTGGGGTATTAGCGGGGACACAGGATCACCTTCTATGCCAAGTCTCTGTGATACCTGAAAGGAGAAATGTCCCTGCTGCACTGTGGAGCACAATGGCAGACCTGAGGTAGTGTGAGTGTCCTGAGGTAGCAGCTCTCTCTAAAACAGATCCTCTTTTTCCCTACAGCCCAAACCAACTGCGTGGATACCACCATTGCCAACTTGCTGGAGGGGAGAGTACCCTTCTTCCCTGAAAGTAAGGAGGCTGGTATTGACCTGCCTGCCCTGTCTACCTCCCAGGCTGCAGCTGCTTCTGGCATCCAGGGCTCCGTAGCTGTGCCTTCTTCCAAGGTACTTTTGGGGTTTTGTTGTCTCATCTGGTCTGATGGCTTGCAGCCAGATCATGATGGCCTGTGTTCAGGACTAGCCATGATGTCAGGGGAGCAGAGCATTTTAAACTGGAGACCAAATTGGCAGGCTGGGTCCTTGCAGAGCCGCTAAGGAGGTCTCCAGGCTTTGCTTGACTGTCTCCTGATGGCTCTTGTGCTTTCTGTTCCAGCCAGCTACAAAGCAATTTGCAAAGTCCCCTGTGGAGCGGCATCTGTCGTTGCAGGAGCGGAAACGAGCATTGTACGACTATGCCAGGAGGTGAGAGTCCACCCACGCCTCAGCCTGTCAGAGTCCCAAAACCCTGTCCCCAGCAGCACGCAGACATGCCCAAAGCAAGGGTTAGCCCTTGCTTTGCCTCGTGTTCTCCCGTTCCTCCCCTCTGGCCCAAGGCAGCAGAGCTGAGGCAGTGAACCATGTCTGAAAGAGGGGAGACAGATGCTTGTCTGCTTTGCCTCTGCCAAGCATGCAGCCCCTTGTCATTCCTGGGAAGCGCTCCGTCTCCTGAATTGCCACTGAGCTTCTGCTTTTGGGGACTAGGTGGGATCGAAGCTATTTGCCAGAAACACAGCTGCTGAGGAATAGGGCTTAGCAAAAAAATCTCATTTAGTTCTTCGGCGTAGCGGATTTGACTGATAGAAGTCATTGTGGGACTAGATTTCTTTGAAATTAGTATTGATGCTATGAAGCATTAATTTTAGAAGGAAGTTTGCTGTTTGGCAACAAGGACAGTGCAATTAATCTTCCTCAGTGTAAGTGGAGAATTACAGAGAACAGGGAGTGAGTTTGACCTCTGTGCATGGTTTTGATGATATTGGAACAAGTGTCCAATTCTAGTGTCTAGGTCTTTTTTTAGAGAAGATAGAGAAAATTCAGAGTTAGGAGGGGAAGTCTGTTAAGCTTACTGTAAATGAGATGGCACGCTATATATAATTCTGGGTGAAGGAGCCAGGTTCTGAAAGGCTGTTTAATCTGGCAGAGAAGAGCAGATTATTAACTAATGGTCAGAAGTTGTAGGCAGACAGACATTACACAGATAATGGGGTAACTGTTTCTAAAAAGCAAATGGATCAATCAGCAGAATAAGCTTCCAGCAGAAATGATGGCTTCTCAGTGCCTGGGTGTTTCTCAGTGAGGCTGCCTGACTCCTCAGAAGAGATGGTAAAGATAACGGGGCGTTTGGCTCAGTCCAGAGTGACAAGAGACCTGCTTGCTGCAAGACAGGGTCTCCACTCTGTAGGGTCTTGCTGTGAAGGGGAGAACCCGTCTCGTGTCACACTCGGGTGTTGCACTGAGCTTTGCTCCAGAGCACTCCAGGAGAAGACTGTGGAGGCTCAGGGATCAGTTAAACTTTTGAGACTCTGTGGCTTTTTGACACTGCATCAGCTCTGCCTACTACTGAAAGTGGGAAATTCCCGTGGTTGGAAGTTGAAGCTAGGCAAACTCATTAAGTGCCCATTTCTAACGGGCTAGCCCATGGTGATGCCAGGTAGCTTGGTCACCAAGAATTTAAACAGCTCTGTTTTTCTGGAAGATCATTTCAGGAATTACATCTCAGAATAGTCCTATGGCACAGATAATGTTAAACTCTGTTTTCAGAGCTGTCCCCCAGACCTTTTAACACGAGTGCAGAGATGGCTGAGGTCTCTTGCTGGATCCGTTGGGCATGATCAGTTCAACAGCAAAGAAAAGAGGGTGGAAATCCTTTCTTGTGGATACCCCACCTGACTTGCTCTTTTGTGTGTTGATCTTTTATGTCCTTTTTCTGAGGCTCTTCTGTCTATAGAGTAGTGAACTCTACTTCTCTGAGAGGAGGGGATCCCAGTGGGATTTGGAAAGGCGACTATGCTCCTCGTCTTTCTTTACTCCAGAGAAGGGCCCTCCTTACTGCCCTAGAGCAGATATGTTTGTCTCTCCAGTTCTGGGTGACAGCAGCAACTTCTACTACTCAACCATTTCAAGGTCAGAAAAGATTTGCAGCTCGAGGTTTGCTGAATGTTTTAATTTCATATAGCCCCTCTGCCCAGGCTGCTGAAAGGAGTGGCGATTCTCAGTGAGACGTGGCTGTTCTCTTTCCTTTGTCAGCACGGTTCTTTGCCCAGCTAGCCAGTGTTTGATGGCAGCACGTGATGGGTGTCTGTCAGTCCAGGGTGGTGGTTGCAGGAGTCTGGTGGCCCTGCGGTGTCACCTCTGTTCTCCCAGGTGGAGGCTCTCTTTGGTCTTTAGCTTTTCTTGCCTCTGGAGCCTGGTGTGCTGTGCAGCTGTAGCTCATCCAAACTGAGGTGTAAGGCTTAGCTTTCACAGTCCCACGCTTGGGCACAGTTACAGCTTCTTGACAGCAGCTCACACCCCTTCCCATGCGCTTTTAGCTCACCTAGGCAGAATGTTTTGGGCACGGGCCGGTGCCATGCTTGTCCCTGTTGAAGACTGAAGGGCTGGGGCGCTGCTGGCAGCGTGGTGCGGGAGGACAGCTGGGTCAGGAAGCCTGGACTGGTTAACCTGTGTCCTGCAAGCCAGGCAGGGGCCAGTTCCGGGCCGGAGCTGCTGCTGGCAGCGTTAGCGCTCTGCAGCTCGGCCCCGCTCAGCCCGTGCACGGTTAGCGTGCCCTGCCAGACGCCTTCCCCCGGGTTTTCGTAGAGGAGCCCGAACGGGGAGCGGGCCCGCGGCGGCGCCCCCCGGGGCGGGGTGGGTTGGGGGGTCAGCCCGGGCGCCTTGCCCGCTGCCGGCGGGGCGGGGCGGGGCGGGGCCGCGGCGGCGCTCTGCCCAATGCCGGCGGGGCTGGAGGGGGGGGCGGGGCCGCGGCTGCGCTCTGCCCAATGCCGGCGGGGCTGGGGGGGGCGGGGCCGCGGCTGCGCTCTGCCCAATGCCGGCGGGGCTGGAGGGGCGGGGCGGGGCCGCGGCTGCGCTCTGCCCAATGCCGGCGGGGCGGGGCGGGGCCGCGGCTGACGGCGCTCTCTCCCGCAGGCGGTTCGCCGAGACGCACGGCGCGGCGCGGGCCGGCGGCGGGCCCTGAGCGGCGGGGAGGGGGGGCGGGCCCTGCGCGGCCGCGCGCCCCCTGCCGGCGGAAATAAACGGCGGCAGCGCACGGCGCGGCTCGGCTCTGCGGGGGGGCGGGGTCAGGGGGGGGCGGGGTCGGTGGGGGGCGTGGCCAGCCCGGCTCCGTGCGGCTCCGCACGCGCCGCGGCCGCCGCCCGCTCGCTCGCCGCACGTAGGCGCCGCTTAAAGGGGCGACGCGCCGGGACCGGCGACCCCTGCACCGGGCGAGCCGCAGCCGGCGGCCACGGGCCCGGGGAGACGCCGGCCACCAACGCAACTTGGGTGCGGGCTCCGCCGGCGCTCCCGCCCGCGTGCTGGCGCGGCGGGCCCCATAGCACGGAGCCAGTGCCCTTTTAAGACGCGGGCTCCCGGTGCCGGTGGTTTTATTTACATGGGGGCTCGCGGGCGTCACGTGACTGGCAGAGCGGCGGGGGCCGAGCGCGGCGGGGCCATGGCGGGCGCCGGCGACGACGGTCCGTGGGGTGCCCGGGGCGCGGGGGGGTGGGTCGGGCCCCGGGGGTCCCGGGGGGTGCTGGGCCAGCGGGGGTCCCGGGCGGGCTGCCGACCGGGAGGGGGCTGCCGTGCACCGGGGGTCCTGGGCGGGCCGGTATGCGCCAGGGGGGCCTAGTCCGCGGGGTCCCGGGTGGGCTGATGTACGGGGGGACGGATCAGCGAGGGGCTGGGCAGATGGGCTGGCGTGCCCCATGGGGGTCCTGGGGGAGATGGGGGTCCCGGGGGAGCGGGGCACGCCGAGGAGCGGCCCCGGGCAGATGGGGGTGCACGGGATGTCCTGAGTCACAGACCCCACTCGCCGCCCCCGTGGTCCCTGGGCAGTGGTGCGGGATGCACCGGGGAGGGCTCCCACACAGGACGGGGTGAACCAAGGAGGCTAATCCGGGACGGACTGGGGCGTGCTGGTGGTCCCAGAGCAGAGTGGGTGGGCGGTGCAGGGGCCAGGCTGGTGCTGGGCTGACAGCCCCCCCAGGCTCCTGGGTGGAGCTGCGGTGTGGCCCAGGCTGCTCGGAGCCCGAGCCCGCGCCCTCGCAGTTCTCCTGCCACGCCGACGTGGAGCGGATGCTGCTGGAGGCCCAGCTGGAGACAGAGAGCAGTGATGGGTAAGTCCCAGGGAGCAGCCGGGGGTCCTGCCTGGCCAGGGTAGGCGTCGGCGGGGGCCAAGGAGCAGGCTTGGTGACCAAGGGGATTATGTTTGCAGTGCCGTGCTTGCGCTGGGGTCCCCATCCTGGGAAGACGACGGAGCCAGCCAGGCGAGTGAGCAGCCTGGGGAGACTGAGCTGCTCCCGCCCTGCAGCCAGCTCCAGCTGGGCTGCTCCTACCCCCGGCAGGTAAGGGAGCTGGTCCCCAGCGCTGTGCCCCACAGGCTGTGTCAGCAGTGCCCCTGCTCTTACCTGCCCCATGCCTCCTAGCAGGATGTGCCGGAGGAGGCTGAGCGGAGGGAGCGACGCCTGCCCACATCCCTTGGCTGGGCCTGTGCCCGCCGCCCTCAGCATCTGTCTCCAAAGTAAGGCTCGTGTCCCCCACCAGCATGTCCTGCTGTGCCCTGCCCTTGCTTCCCTGTCCTGCTGTACCCACACCCTCCCGCTGTGCTGGGCCCTCTTCCCTCATGCCCCCTTTAACCGTGCACTTTTCCCAGGGAGTTTGCCTTTGTGTGCTCCCCCCAGCCGGTGCTGTGGAGCCTGCAGGGAGGTACAGTGGGGAGAAAGAAGAGACTTTTCAGTTCAGAGCTGCTGCTGCTCTTCATCCCCTCACTGCTGCTCAGCCATGTGCTGACCCTGGGACTGGGGTGAGTTTGTGATGGGCCTGACCTGTGCTGTTGGGTGGCCTTAGCCAGGACTGACCCCTTGGATGCAGGCGGGGGGAGTGCTGTGCTGCTGGGTGGCTGTGCAGTCTGGGGCTATCCGGGGGCCGTGGGCTGCCCCAACCTGGGGGGCTGTCCCTGGGGGAAGCTGGGGAGTGGGGGAACACTCCTGTGGACTGCTCGTCCTTGGGTGCTGTTCTAAACCATTTCTCCCAGCAGCCATGGTCATCTCCGTGGCTGCTGGCTTCTCCCCTCAGCCTTGCGGGGGCCCAGCGGGCTGTCCCCCATGCACGTGCCTTACTGTTGCTCTCTCCGATCCAGGATCTACATTGGGAAGCGACTGGCAGCCTCCTCGGCAAACCCTCTGTGAAGAGCAGGGCTCAGCGAGACACGGGTGGCTCCTCCACCGTGTGTGGAGGGAGGCCAGGCACCAGCACAGCCCAGCTGCTCCCAGACTTTGTGTTTGGGGCACGAGGCGCCGTCTCCCCTCGTCCCTTCTTCAGCCCCAGCCTAGGGAGCTGATCCGACTACACTCCCACGTAGACAGGAACCTACTGATGGCAGATCCCTGCTGCAGGCAGCCCCTGCCCTCCCCATCCCTTGGTTACGGGTCCAGGTTCCTCCTCTTTAACACAAGACTGTAAATACGACTCCTGAGCGAATAAAGAGCTCTGTGCCAGTGCAGGAGGCAGGGCAGTGTGCTGGCAGTCACAGTGCCAGACCTGGCACAGCCCGGCCAGGGAGGAGTGAGCGTGCTCACGGGGGGCAGCAGGCTCCCCTGGGCTTCGCCGGCTGTGGGGGCGAGCGTCCCTGCTCTTTGTGGTGCTGGGGCACAGCGGTGGGGCAGTGCCTGGCTGGGCCGTGCCTGAGCAGGGGTGAGTGCTGGGGCTCTGACGAGGTTTTCAGCCCCACTGCAGGGTGCCTGGCTGATGTGTTAGTCTTTTATTAGTCGGCCATGGCCTGCTGCAGCTGCGAGGCAGGGGCTGGAGCCCAGCGCAGCTGGCTTGGGCGGCACCAGCCTGGCACAGGCAGGGCTGCAAAGCCAGATACCGGCAGGAGAGCCGGCACTGCAAAGCGATGCTGCCCAGGCCCAGGCACGGTCACAGTGCCTGGCCAGAGGTGTTTGTCCTGGTGCCGTGGGGTGGGAGCTGCCCCTGCGCTGGGGAGCAGGAACAGAGGGACGAGCTCGGCACACGCCAGTGGGGATCTTGTTGCCCTGCCTGTGGCGGGGTCCCTGGGCAGCTCGGGGTGGAGGGAGGAAAGTCCTCTGGCGCAGTGCGGCCGCAGCGCTGGAGGGGCTGCGTGGGGGGGAGCTCAGCACAGCTCTGCGCGGGAGAGACACCCTGGCACGTAACTGCTTCACCTCGGCAGGAAGGAGAGCGTGGGGCGAGGGCTGATGTGGGGCGCAGGGGGAAAGGGGAAGGGGCGTCCCAGCCCTGGGCAGCACCTGGAGCAGAGCAAGAGCCAAACCTGGCAGGACACAGGATGGCAGTGCCCTGTGCCACCGTGGGTACCGGGGTGCTCAGGGAGTCCCGTGGCCATGCAGAATGCTTCTGGTGTAAATGCTGTAAGAGGTGGGTGAGGGGTGGGCCAGCAGGGGAGGGTCAAGGGGGACTGTTTGTCCAGTAACCAGCTGGCAGCGGGTCAGAGCTGTGACACTCGCTTGGACTTCGGTGGCGGAGGCGGTGGCGGCGACTTCAGCCCTTTATTTCCATCCGCTGTTGGTGATGTGGATGCCTGCAAGCAGAGAGGGCAGTTACCGGGGGCGGGGGGTGGCCAGGGTCTGGGGGCCTGGGCCGGGAGGTACCTTCCCTCCGGTTGCGGCGTCGCTCTGCTCCAGGAACGTCTCGTACACCGTGGGGCTGATCTTGCGGGGCAGCGGTGGGATCTTGCTGGCGCTCTTCACGCGGCCGCCAAAGCCGGTGGGAGATACGGACAGCCCTGCACAGGCAGAGCAGGTGGGCTTGGGCAGATCACCCAGTCTGGGGGGCCCTGAGAGGGCCCATGGGGCCCATCGGTGGGCCCTGGGCTGCCTGGGCCAGCTCTCCTGCTTGCAGGAGCGTGACAGCCCTGGGCAGAGGGGCTGGGGGAGGTGTGGGGGACGAGCCCAGCCGGGAGCTGGCTCCTGCTGGAATCTGGTCTTGGCGTGGAGGCCCAGCAGTGGGAGGTCTGGGATCGGTGACCAGCAGCTCCCTGGGGAGCGTTTTGTGGGGGACACGCGGGATCTGCCTGCGCTTTTGGTACCGAGCGCTCCCTGCCTGCTCCCGGCTGCAGGACGAGCCCGTGCCAGTGTGGGGATGGGGTGAGTGGGTGAGGGTGCCTGCACGGGGGTGCAGAGTTGGCGGTGCTGGTACCTGCACTGCTGGGGTGCAGGCACAGCCCTGCTCGTGGAGACAAGGGCTGGATGGTGCCCCCAGCCACGTCAAGGCAAGGGGGTGGGCTGGGAAGGTGTCCTGAGGCAGCAGCCGTGGCGGGGAGTACCTGCAGTGCTGGGCTGAGCACCAGCGGCATCTCGGCTTGGCGGGGGCTGTTTCCCGTCGGAGCTGCCCAGGCTGCTCTCGCTTGTGCTGTGGGAGAGTCTCCGCTTCTCGTCCTGGGGCACAGAGGGGAGTCTCAGTGCCTCGGGGCAGGCTGCACTGCAGCACCAACAGCCCTGGGAATGGGGGAGCCTCTGGCGGGGTGTGATGTTCCCCAGCACCCTACCCACAGCCCGGGGTCTCCAGCCCTGTGCCCCACCAGCCTCTGCTCCTGCCCTCAGCCGGCTGCACCCTGCAGCAGGGGCTGCCACCAGCCCCCCCCAAGGGGTCCCATCCGTGCTGGGGCCTGGTGCTGCCAGCTGGGCGGGGGCTGCAGGTGCAGCAGGATGCCTGGAGGAGCATGAACAGGGCCCTGGGGAGGAGGGGAGGCACCAGGGCTGTGCTGAGCATCACCTTGGGGTCTGGCAGCTCCGAGACGGACTGGCGCTGGTCCTGCCGCCGGTACCCAAAGAAAGTGCTGGAGCGGTTCTCCTTGCGCTCGTTCCTGCGGTCCTCACTCTCGGAGGTGCGAGGGGCAGGCTTGGGGGTCGGGGGTGCCTCCGTGCTGTGGAGCAACTGTGGCTGGTGAGGGACAGGCGGGAGGCAGGGCAATAGGGAGCAGGGCTACACTATGGCCCGGCTGGACCATGGCCAGGAGTGGCTGCCCTCAGCCAGGCACCAGCACCATCTCTGGCAGAGTTCAGCAGTGGATGCTTGGCGGGGGACAAGACAGCAAGAGAAGAGTGGCTGGCTCAGGTCACAGCGGTGTCCAGGTGAGCCTGGGGGCTGCATATGGGGTGTCTCTGCTCTGTGCCTTCCCATGGGGAAAGGGCCACCGTGGTGGCATGACAGGATGGACCCCTGAGGTGTGGCTTGGCATAAAGAGAAGCTGAGAGCAGTGGGCTGGGGAGGTGGGAGAGAAGCGTCTGTGGTGGAGGAGAGCGAAGTTGGTTCGGCAGTGCCGGGCCAGTGGGGAGGGGTGAGAGGGGGTGGCTTGGGGCCAGCGCTCCCCGCCACAGCACTTGCCTGTCTCCAGCATGGCTCAGGCGGTCCCAGTCGGGCCCCCAGGCCACAGACCGGGGTCGTCCACTTCGCCGGTCCTCGAAGCAGACCTGAGAGCACAGGGAGCCTGAGAGAGAGCCAGGAGGGCTGAGGGTGCAGAGCCTCCCCTCTCCCCTTGGCTCAGCCCAGGCCAGCAGTGCCCTCTCTGCCCAGTCCTGGTTTTGTGCCAGTACCAGACACCCCATGGCAGTGCTGTCCCCCCACCCAGGGCAGGCGGAGACCCCAAAGTGCCCTATGCACACTGCCCCTCACCCTGTTGCCCCAGACCTCCACTGGCTTGTCCAGTATCATCCTGCAGGTGCCACACAGCCCCCATGCAGCCCCAGCCGTGCCCGCACCGTACTCGCCACCCTGGCACTCACCATCTCCCGCACCCCATACTGGCTCTCCACCTTGGCCCGCAGCTGCACGAAGCACTGCTCCATGCGCTCATGGAAGGGCCTCAGGTCCTCCGTCACCTTCCGCCCGTGGATCCGGATCCCCTCTGCCAGCAGCGGGGTCTGTGGGAGAACGGGGACGGGTCAGCCTGGGCTTGTAGGACACCGACCCCTCCAGCCGCTGGACGGTTGCTGCAGACTGTACCTGCCAGGCGATCAGGTCCTTCAGCTTCTTGATGTTCCCCTCATCCTCAGGGTGCTCCTGCAGGTAGGACTCCTGGAAAAAGGCCTGCAACGACCCCCTCTCAGTCCCACTGGCGGGCTGGCTCGGCTCCAGGCAGGCAGGGGATGGAGCAAAGCGGTGCCAGCGACTGTGCTCACCAGCCCCGGTGCAGCACCCGCATGTCCTCACCGTTTCATACTTGGTGAAGCCACCCATGACAGCAGGGTCCACGATGCCGTTGAGCAGCATGGAGAGTGGGTTGACAGGCAGGCTGGGGTCATTCTGGTGCCGGTTGATCTCGCTCATAATTTTCTCATTCGTTTTCATCATGGTCTCAATGGCGTTTTCCAGGGGGGAGATGATGGTCTGTGCCCAGGAAGGGAGGGAAGGTCAGCAGCTGACTGACCCAGCAACCTGCCTGTTCTGGGTAGGGCTGGCAGGGTGGTCTCTCCTGGGCCCCTGGCACCGGTTGCCTGGAGCACTGGAAGTGCTTCTCCCTGGGGTCCCAGCACAGGCTGCTGGCAGGCAAGAGATGCTGGGAAACCCAGGTAAATGACATTGTCACTGGTGGGGGGGGCAGCTGTGCAGCAGCGGCATGCACAGCCTGAGCACCTCAGCAGACACACGTGTGTGTGGCAGCACTCATGCAGCCGTGCGGTCCTCTGCAGCCCAGCTGTCCTGTAACAGCCCAGCTACGGCATTTCACGTCTTTGCTGCAGCACCTGAAGCACCCTGGACTTTGGCCACGCGCCTCCCTGACAGGGGCGTAAAACCCACTCACAGGGGGTGTTAGCAGCACCAGGAGTGCAGCAGTCTGCTGAAACTCTTCCAGTGCCTCTGCTGCTCCTTGCACGTGGTCTCCTGCTTCCCACAGAGATGTGCATCCCGGTGGGTGAGCCACACAAACCAGTCCCTGCCACTGGGTTGATGCTACTGGCACCAACTGATGGAGGCTGTTGGTGCCCTGAGTGCTGGGGGGGGGGTCTCCATGCCTGGTGTCAGCAGAGAAACCCTTCCCTGTGGCCTGGAGCTGGGGCAGCGGAGGCCAAGGAGATGCCAAAAGGGGGTTTATCCCCCGCTGCTTGGCAGTGGTGGTAGCTGGGCTCTGTGCTCGCAGAGGGAAGGGGGGAAGGGGGCTCTGCTTGCACCCCGCTCTGCAGGTGGAGGGTGCACGTGGGAGGTGGGGCCATTCTGTCACAGGCGCTGTCCCGGGTGACGCACCCGAGGGACTGCAGGGGCATGGGAGCAAGCGGGGTGTCGTGGGGTTTGGGGGCTTGAGTGCTGGGTGGGCTGGGTCAGGTTTGCACTGAGAGCTGAGCCTGACGGGGTGTGGGGACTGGGGCAGGGTTTCGGCTGGGGCATCAGGCAGGACACGCTCCCTGCACCCCAGCTCAAGCTTCTGGAGCTTGGGAAGCCTGGAAGGGGCTGGGGGTTTGTGATGCTGCTCCGGGAAGGGACGCCCTGGGAGGGTCCCACTCCTCCCCCCACACCCCTTCTCCTCACCGT